ATTGCTCTATAATTTAAAAGCTGCTCCATCTGAGATTTTAAAGTCATTGTAAACCCAATTCACTTGGCTGAGAAAATGCAGAATCTTTTATTTTTTTATTTTATTTTATTTTTTTCAGAATCTTGATCTTACCTGGGAAGTTCTGAAATATTAGTCACCTTAACAAAATCAAGGACTCAAGTTCATTTTTATTAGTTTTCATTTTTATATAATGTATTTAGTACAGGGTCCACAGGGTCTCACTATACAGATTGGACTTGTAGTGATCCTTCCTGTTTTGCAGCTTCCCAAGATCTGGGATTACAGGTGAGCACCACCATACCCAGTCTCAATCTTCATTCAGCCTGCCCCAGCGGTGAGGCCAGTACAGCAGGCCAGGGATTGAACCTCCGCCCCTAAGACTCAAGTGCAGTGTGGCATTTCCCTTCAGCCTCCTCCAGCACAGCAGCTCAGATTCCTGGTGGGATGAAATGGTGATTCTAGGCATTATTTGCATTTACGAATAGTTCCCTTTTGGGGAAAGGAAGGTGCTTTTGTCCTGATGTCTGAGAACCTCCCATCACGTCTCAGTGGTCAGCCTTGGTTTACGTGCCATGTGTCAGCTGAGCCTGGCAGGGTGAATGGGACTCCCACGACTGACTGAAGCAATCAAGCTCCTCTTTGGACAGGGGCTGGGTCTTCCTCCCCTGATGCCCAAGACTGCAAAGTGTGTGTAGGATGCTAGAGCAAAATCACAGATCCCCTGGAAAGGAGGAAGAAATTGACAAATGTTACTGGGTGACAATTATCATGAACTGCCCTACCTCATTATCCATGGCTTCCACAGCCATGATTCAAACAGCCTCAGATAAAAAATATCTGAAAAAAATTATGTACAGATTTTTTCTTGTCATCAATCCCTAACCAATATAGTACAACAACTATTTATATAGTATTCTGTGCTATAAGTAATATAGAGGTGATTTAAAGTATATAGGAAAATATATATAGGCTATGTGCAAGTACAATACCATTTCATACAAGGGACTTGAAAACTCACAGAGTTTGTTATCCTGGAGAAGGAAAAGAAGGTCCTAAAACCAATATATTGTAGATACTGAGGGACAGTTGCAAATGGTTAGGTAAGTTTCAGCAGTTCTTGGTCAAACAAATTTCTTTATGAAATGTTCTCTCATGCTACCATGCAATAGTTCTAGAAAGAGGCAATAATAGTCAACATTTAAACTTATTTAACCCCAGAAAACTTCTTCCCCCTATCAAATACCTATTAACATTTCTAGGTCATTAATATTCCTCAAAATGCATTTTAAGAAATGCTTAACACAAACTCAAAGATCTGTCCCAATCATAACATTCTATGCTCATCTATGAAACTAGATTGAGATCTGTTGCGATAAAAGAAATCCATAAATATCGCTACTTTGTTGGTCAGGTTTTCTGCAATAGTACAGATGCTACGCTCAAGACGGGGAGATTTAGTGAATAATCTAGATTCCAAGCTTTGGGGGAGCCAGAGAAGATAGTGCAGTGTTTTCTTGTGCCTGATGAGGGTGGGGAAGGAAGCAAGTGGATTGCAGGATCAAAGGCAGAGGGAGCTGCCAACGCAGAGCTGTGCCTCTGGCTGGGGACACAGTCAGTCCCCGCACCTGTGCACACTGGCTGCTCCCTGCGCCCCTGCTGCTGCATTCTCCAATTGGAAGCCAGTTGATGCAGCCCAAAGCGTCAATCCCCTACGGAAAGGTAACGATATTGAGCACAGCTCCTCAGTATCTATCTTAAATATCTCCCTGGAGTCATCTTAATCGTAGAAGGGACAGAGCCTGGAAGCTGGACAGACCTGGGTTCCACCCTTTGTTGTTTATTCTTCTACGTCAGTTTTCAGAGTTTCTAATATTTCTTCTGCCTCAAGTATCTTCTATAAGACATATGTTGCAAGATTGTTAGGATGATTAATTCAGAATACCCATAAAAGTGTCTGACTCATAGTGGGTCCTCTACCAGATGCCATTTTTCTCTTCCCTGTCCTCTCTCTGCTACTTCTTAGATATAAATTTATTTTTTTTCATAATTTTATTGAGAAACAAAAAGCAATGAGACAGTTTCAAACCAAATTGGTAGGACAGTTTCAATAATTAACACATTGCATACATTCTTCCTAGTGGTTAATTGCTGTACAAGATGAGGA